AGCTCGAATATCCCCTTAAATCATGCAAAAACTAGCTGGAAAGGGAAAAATACACCCACTCTGCTCTGTGACTTGCTTTCCATCTTGGAAGGAAAAATCCTCTCTAAAGATGAAGGGGATATTTATCTCCATTGTCATACACCAATCCATGCTCTGTAGCTGAAATTACAGCCTTGTAAGACTGAATACCTGTCCTGTGGGAACAGGGCTGGATTAAAAACTTAATTCATACGGATTGCGCTCAGAGCATGGCAGAGGGAGGACCTTTGAACTCCCAAGCTGAGACAGATGTGAAAAAGCAATGCTAGTTTTTCTAATCCTTTGGTTCGTATTCACACACCCCAGTGCTAAGGACAGATATACACATCTATACTGTGCTCTGGATGTGTGCATCCCCCCGTGAACAGGTCAAGGGAGAAGAAAATGCCACAGGAAAGTTTGCATCAAAGCCAGAAAATTGTTTCATGTAAGCCAGTAATCTTTCGTGGGTATCAGATGGCTCTAATATAAAGTATGGCAGTCCCAACACATTACAAATAAAGGGGAAATTGTTAGGTGCTAACAGGAAAATCACACTGGTTTTACCACTGTTGATAAAGATGATTGGTTCAATTTTAGCTCACTGAATACCTCCACTAATTTTAGGCTCCTGATTATATTTCTTAATGGAAGAAAAAATCCTTTGAATGAAACATTTTTAGTGTTCACTCATATTATCTTTCTGTGTATCTCTTCTGTCCATTTCAAGCTTTGAAAAAAAAAAAAAAATCCTACCTGACAAATTGCTAGGAAAATGATTTAGGTAGATTCTTCATTACAGGGAAAAATGTGAATGAAATGGGGATATATTTACCTAAATCTTTGCTTTAATAGGAATAAATTCAATGAACTCCTGATTAGTTGTACTATTCAGATTAAACAGTGACAAACCCCCTTCTCACACTTTAGTCTATGAGAAAGCTTTCTCCTTTTCAGAAACAACCAGCAAGAGAGTGGTGACAACACTTCACATGGAGGGTATGTCCTTATCTCTGTAATGCTTTGATTGGCATATATTAAATCAAGATAAATTTATACTCAGAAAATAATATGAGCATTTTGGAAGCTATTAATTCCTTTCTAAGCAGCAAAGACAAGCTTTAGCAAGATGTCAAAATATGAAAGGAAGAGAAAAAACCCTAATAAAGTAAAGCACCATTTTTGTGACAAGCTTTTACACAGGTGCACAGGAAAATTTCAGCCAAGTGACTGCTTTTTCTGAGAAGGACTTCAGAAGAGAACCCTGAATCTCATTTAGAAATAATACAAGAAACACACTCAAATCAACTTTAAAATATTTTAAGGTGGATCCTTTTCTATTTGCATGCACATTTAAGGCCCTGTTTTGACAACGTTCCCTGGATTTCACCATTTAAGTTTTCCATTTAAATGTTTAATTCTTGTCTTCATACCTTCATTATAGGCCATGTATTTAAGTACCTGCTGAAATGGGAATTTAAAGAATACTGATTGTGAGCCAGTTTCTCTTGTTTAGGTCGAAACTCTTCATGACAGAGACTGAGGGATTTTTTTTTTATTATTATACTGTATGTTGTTGAGTAGAATTTAGAATTAGTATTTAGTATTTAGCAGGGAAATAATATTAAGCCAGGTTTTTAGTACTGCTACTGTAATTATCAATAAATAGATTTGTATTTGCTATATTTATATCATACAACTGTACGAAAAGCACAACAGTAGTAACATTTAGAAATAAGTTCCATTCTGATAACTCTGATCCTGTCACGCCAAGATCCTGTCTAATAAGCATCCTAAGGCATGACTCTCTGGAATAAGAATGCTTTTATTTTTGCAGAATCCCTTCATCATGGGACTGACAAAACACAGGCTGCAACTGCATCCGTGGAAGAAGGTTTGCAACATACAGTGCAAGAAGTGCTGTTTTCAGCTCCCAAAAGCTGAAAGAATAAAATACAAGAATAAGCTGTTTGCTTTCTTTCTGCCCTTCTAAAAGGACAGATACAAAAGTAGATATAATGTTTTGGTGATCAAATTCAAGACTGAATGAGAAGGTGTGATTTTTCAATGTGTGCATGTGATGTGCTTAACCAGTGTTTACAGTAAGTTTCCCAAGGGCTGAAAATGAGCACTCTATGACAAAACCTGTTTTCATCCAAACAGACCTTTATTTTTCCCCTGGGAATATGGGCCGCAGCAGGTGAGCTGTTTGGCAGAGATGTGCTGTGTGGGTGCCAACCACTGGACCCACAGCCCATTGCATATTTGTTGTCTTTAAAGAGACAATTAATTATATGAGATTAAGCAGCGGCACGAGAAAAAGTTGGACATGGTTTGTTGCAAATGAGCCAGCAGTTTGGTGGTTTATTTACTTACAATGTAGGCATCCATGTTGAAGTCCCTCTCACTCTGGTGCCTCTTGGGTGAGTATTTAAACCATGAGACCAAGTGGATCTTCTGACAATCTTCATTTTTTTTCTGCTACAATCAATAGCTACCTTGTTCAGGAATGGACAGTTGCAAAATCTCATTGCTGTGGTGTGAGAAAACTATTCTCTTCCTACCTGCATGGTGTGCACTACAACACAAGGGGCCATGGAGAGAAGTCATCCAAAGTCTTGGGTTGCTCTGGGAGGGCACACCTGGTGAGAGAGGGCTGAGTCATACAGTAGGGAAATACAGGAGGAGACCAGTCTTAGACCACCCACTGCCTGATTTAGCGGATTTAGCACTCTTGTAATGTGGCCCCATCACAAGCAAAGCCATACTGTCATGTACAGAGACCCCGTATCTGCCAAGTGCAGAAGCAATGTGCCCTGGATGGGTGCCACCGAGCCACCGCTCAACTCAGAGAAATTCAGGAGTTATTTTGCAGGAGTGGGGAGAGGTGGAAAGTTGCACTTTTTGAGAACTTAAGAACCTGGTTTCAACCAGTAGTGTGCTCTTCTGTGTTTCTCAAAGCAAATCATCGCTCTAAGTGAATTATTCACTTATATATTATTGCATTATTCCACTTAGGAATAATGCAAAACCATATGGAATTTTTTTCTTCTTTTTTTTTTTTTTTTTTTTTTTTTTTAAGAAAGAATGTTTCAGACTTTAACACTTTTCTTTTTTTAAAAAAGTGTCACATGCATAGGGACATCTATCTGAAAAGGCTTTATGCTGAGTGTAAGTACTGGCTGTTCCTTCATACCTCTCCTGTATTATCAAGGCGGGTTAAAAAAACAGAGATTTCTTGTTCTCGCCTAACAACAGCTCCAATCTTGGTTCATGTTTTTTCAGCTGCTTCTGGGAAGCTTGTTAACAGAAAACTGAGAACTCCTGAAGGAGTGAGTGCACCTGTATTTGCACATCTGTAGCAATCTTTTACTTCCTGAGAAGATGATTACTTGTGCTCTCTGAAGAGGCATAGTTCATCCTAAGGCTCAAAATATTGCCAAGGGATAAAAACCTGTATTAGGAATTTTAGAAAGCTGAAAACGTATCACAGATGACATACCCAGACAGACTTCGAAGGAAATATTTGGAGAACCATTCCCCATTTAACTAGCTATCTGCCCACTTAAGCCCATAGGAGCTTCACCTTTGGGAACTCTGGGAACTGCATTAAGCCAAAGCTAAGTACTACTCAGGAACTTGTTCAAAGGCAAAGACATTCTTCCTCACATCACAACATCCTAACAACAGACTAAAAGATGCAGAATTTTATTTTTTTTTATAATTTATCAAAATGTAGCTGATGATAAATGAAAAAAGTTTATCAAAAAATAAATCAGAGGTTAGGGAAGTATTTGGGCTTGTAGCTGCCTGTCCACACTTGGCTTTCAATGTAGGTAAACATGAGGTGTTCACGAGGAATGTGACATCGTTCTGTGCTCAACAATGAGATTTTAGACCTAAGTCTCTTCAATGTATTTGTCTGTCAAATGGATTTAATATTGAATTTGCCACTTCAGCCATACTTATGCTGCTTCTTTGTTAGTGTAAAATACGTTATCTGAATGTAACAATGGGATTATTTTATGGGTATCACTTTGTCTTCAACAATCGATGCACCACAGAGAAAAATGGGCAAATCTCTGTACAAGAAATGCCTAGGTCTTCCTCCTTCACTGGAAAAGCTCTTCTCAGCAGCTTGATGTCTCGTAAGACTCTGTGCTGGAAACTTGTTTTCTGAGTTTACATTTTCTGTCTTCAACAGTGATTTCTTTTGAGCCCAGTGAGATGGTTCTGGGGACTTCCAAAGGTGGAGGTAAGACTCTGATTATGCTTCTGTTGATGAATAAGTCACTCCTCATTCCAGGTGAAAACAGGTTTTGGTTAATGAAGCTCTGTGGTGTCACAGGCAAAAATGTGCAGCTCAGGATTTCTGGATTATACCCCCAGTTCTTCTGCTGAGTTGCGCATCCCTGAGCAAACCACTTCATTTCTCCTAATTACCCTCTTTATAAAACAAGGCTAATTGTGATGTCTGGTTAAGCTTTATGAAGTTTTCAGTAGAAGTCACTCCAGAAATGCATTGGAGAAATGGAGGATGTAGGTCTCTACCACGATGCCTCTTCTTTTTGTACAGTTACCCCAAGGGACCACAGAGGTACAGCTCCTGCTCCCTCCGTCCTCTCAATAAAAGGTGAGTGACTCTCAGCTCTCCTTTTGCTTTGGCTGACACACCAATGCTTCATCTAAAAGTATCACAGTTAAAAATACACACATGATGACAACAGGGCTGCCAGGGAATCAGATTTAGATCAGGGTCAGACAGCAGATACACGAACGATAAAACCAGACTGAGAAGTATTCGCTGTGGGTTGCCTCCAGCCACTCATTTGCACTCCTCATGCAAGTATTTGTGAAAACCATTTCATATAAGGTTTTTCCAACGTAACTGTTCGTCCTTTGAATTACATTCATAGCATCTGCTGTCAGAAGGGGTCATTTTGATCTTGCCTCCTCCTTTGTTACACAGAATTTCACAGAATTCTTTCCCAGTATAAAACCTACTTCAGCTTTTGCAGCTGTTATTGCTTTGAGCACAGCCACACCAGCAGCTGCAGCTAGAAGTGGGGTTTTCAGCGGCCCCTTTTTTATAGAAAGAATCATTCAGACAGACTGAAACACACTAGAAAAATGTCAAGGAACACTGGAGAGTAGAAAGTAGTCAGTTTTTGCCTCTGATTACACTGTCTGGACCACATCTTCCACCCCCATACAGAAATTCAGCATCGCTGTCCTCAGCACTGGTCAAAATCACTACATTTTCTTCTCCGTTAACTTGAATGTACCGGAAAATCTGTGTGTTGTGTTGCGAGGTCTGCATGGTTCCTGGAGGATTATTTGTAATATCTATTCTTAGCTACATGCAGAATTTCCCAAACTCCAGTTTTATTTTCTACATCTAACAGGAATTGCTTTCATTTCAACACATCACTGTCCAACAAAGTGGCATAAAATGTGCACCTCGTTAGCTATTAAAACTAGCATGTTGCTATTGCTCCCTTTCTGCAACCTTTCACGATCTTCCTTGTGTTCTTGGCAGTTTCATTTTTTAAGGTATTCTGGTATCCTATGACAGATTATTTTCAGTACATACTAAAAACAGAACTTCGGAGGAACAAATTTAATGAATTTGAGTTTAATCCAGTTAATAAATTCAGCCAAGGAATTTAAAAGGAAAGGCTTTTAAAAACATGGAAACACATGTTCACTAGTATTTTCAAAGTATTTTGTTTGTGAAATGCCACATTCTTCATATTGACATTTAGGAAAAATGAAACCATTTGATTTCCATTCAATATTAAACAAAACTTTACCGGTCAACAATAAAGCTTCAGATAATCTAAAAATAAATACTAATTTCATTTTTAGGGTAAAGAGTCTCCTTAAAATTATGTTTCTATTCATCCTCAACTTGTTTTCTCCTTAATATTTGCCTGTGGTTACAATGAAGCAAATCCTTCCGTTGCCCAGCTTTGCATCAGTCAAATAATTTTCTGGTTTCCCTGATGTTGTTACCAGTTTTGGTACCCTCATGTGAATGGACTTTTTTTTATTTTTTTAAGGAATTTACTCAGAAATTGACACCTCACCTGCACTTTATCTCTCAGTATGGCTGACTGATCAGTAACCAATATGATTTTCGGCAGCCGGCACAGTTCTTTACCCCAGTATGCAGCATATAAAATTAAAAAGAAATAAAAAAATCAGTAGGTATACTGGTCCCGTTTAACCAGCATCTTCTTTTCTGAAAGGCAAGAAATGTGAAGAAACGACCAGTGTGGGTACTCTTTGCTTTTCCGATCCTAATTTTGAATTTTTTTCTCTATGACCATCAGTTCACACGAGTTCTGCCTGAGGATATTACTCTGACCTGCTATCTAAAATGAAAATCTTGCTGTTTATTGCTCCATGTCTTCTTCTGCTTTCCTCTTTCTGCTTATTCAGAAAACGATGGATTTATGGAAGCTGTGGTCCCAGTGGAAGAGATAACCACCTCCCCAGCCTCATTCCCAGGAGATACTAACTCAATGCAAGTCAAAATTGTCCCCACCAAGAAGATTTCTGCAGGCACATCTGCAAGGACAAAAGAAAAAGGCAAGTAAAAACTGAATTACACCTATTCTAATTTACAGCACTCTCCTATTCCTGTTCCCAGATATCTGAGGATTCAGCGTTTTTGACAGACGTGTACAATAACACTGTTTGCTTCCTATATCTGGATACATTACATAGAATACAGGGTGCACAACACCAACTGCACTGGAAAGGACAGTTCACTGTCAAACCCTGACCAGGAAAGCTTAACTAACCATTAATGAACAGGTTTCCATCTATAAATTAAACAAATGTTAAGATGGTCAATTGATTATGGTTCAGAATATGCACTTTTGGACATGTTACTGAAAGAAGAGTTTACTCTACCTTAGCAAGTCTAATCTATGCATATGCTGTCTCCAGAGACGAGCCCTGCAAGGGGTGGCCAGAGCACAGCTTCCTCTGGAATAGCTCTGGAACTGGTGTTGGCTGACACAGGACCCCATGAACCCACAGCAAAAAGTAAGTGAAGGGTTTTTTTTCCCCAGTTATATCTAGTGAAATATTCAGCTACCTCTACATTAAAAGGCAGGTGTATATATAAAGATCATAGTTATTCAAAACTAGTTAGACAAGTGTATATGTATTGGTATTTTTGTAAGAACAACGGGAGATGTGGTCATCTGCAAAAGCTTCCAACAGTTTAACCTCTCCCACCAATGTGTTATCCTTAATACTTACAAAAGCTATTTATGATTAGGTTATAAGTACATTTTTCCTACAGTACAAGATCTAAAATGAGCTCAGTGAATGTTTCGCCTTGCTTTTGTTTTTAGGCAGTAATTTAATCACATGTTTGAGTTACTTGATTTTACAAGCAGCAGAAGCAATAAAAGGAATTTCCCCTGCTCCTCACGCTGCCAAAGTCTTGCCAGAGTCAGCCTTTTTCTCAGCTTTTCTGATTCTGTTCAAACTCCTGCCCAGAGTTCACAGAGGTCCCAAGATATTTCAGACCTGTCATGCTGCAAATCCACACCCATGGACTCTCCCATCCATCTTGTTAGGCTTCCCAATGGAGAGAAGTGGTCCCGGAACTGGAACAGTGCAGACATGAAGAATCAACCCAGCCTTCCATCCAATTGGAAAATTTGATGGGATATAACAGTTTTTGAGTGGGCATTGTCAGTGCACAAACCTGAGGTTTGTTTTTGGTGAATTAACATGAGTGAGCAAAGACCGAAGCGGGCACATGGGCAGAATTTCCTACTGGGGGAAGTAATCCAGGGCTGTCCCTGGAAGAAGCACGGACAGTCAGTCTAGAGCTGCAGAAGGGAAGATGGGATTACTCATGGGAGCAAGGAGGACATGCAGGGAAAAACAGCCCAACCTCTCTCTCCCCCAATCCAAAAACCAGCCCCTTCAAGTCCTTTCCCTGGCAAAGTCACAACAGAGGCCCCCTTCACATTGTTTTTTCCTGACGTGGGACACACTATTCTTTCAAACCTTAGGGATAATTCCTACAATATCAGTTCTTTCTGAGTGGTTGAAGCCCCAGAGGCATTAGAGTTGGGACATGGAGCTGCCAAGACCTCAGCAGCACAGTAACCATTGTGACAGATCACTCCTGCATTTGGCATAGAGGAATCATAGCTCCAATTGAATTGCATTTAACAAAAGTCATTGTGACAATCCAAGATGATCTTCCCTGTTCTGTAAAATCAGGAAACAATTCTCTTTGAAATGAAAATCCAGAATCTTTCCTTTGGGAAAGCATCACTATTACTGATTGCTCTGTGACGGTAGCCAAGCTTTGTCAGGATGAGTTTTGTAAGCATACCATGAAGGAATCATGCACAACTTAGTCCTAGTACACCTTTAATGTTAGGTGAAAGGTATTTCAAATGAAAAAAAAAAAAATAGTTATTGTTTCCTCCAGCACACCATAGTCATTGCCCAGCTATCACTGTGCAAGCACAAGAAGTTAGGAGTTTATTTTCTGATTTAGCCAAGACAGAAGCTACTGAACTCAGCTAGGTTTGGATATTCTAGAAGAAAAAATTAACTATGAAGGATTACAAAGGATTGCAAAATATTCTTACTGCGATCCAATTTGACTTGTAAGTTATATCTTCATGGGGATCTCTCTCCCCTTTAAACCTTTTCTCCCCACTTCTGCTGCCTTGCTCAGTAGTCTTCTTAGAGCCACAGTTCATAGAGTGGAGCAATAATCTAGAAATTGTAAAATGTTGTCTCTAAGGTTTTCTGAGCCCTCAGCCAGTGAAAATATGATGTGTCAAATAATATGTTTTACTTTATAGTATGTGAGCGATTAACCTTTATGCAAGAGAGAGGAAATGGAAGAGCGAAGAGGGAGCTTCCCCAGCTAGGAGAAATGCTGTTCTGTTTAACTGAGCGATGTCCAGAGGAATTTGAGTC